ACAGGAAGGCCTGGAGGAATGTTGTCCATGGGGTCGCGATGAGTCGGACATGACTTCGCAACTAAGAACAACAATTCACAGATCTTTTTAAATGCAAACTTTTATCACAAATATGTGCCTTGTTCCTGACATACTAGCTTTATTCAGGTGTTCAAAATGTAATCACATTTCATGACCAATTTAAACTAGGTGCAACCTGCTAGAAATCTGCAGCTAAACATCTGAATTTTCAGTTGGAAATCAAGTGATCTGACCTAGCATCCCTAAACATGAATGATCTTAGAGGGTTGAAATACCGGTCAACTGTATATCCGCCAAAGAACAAGTAATCTGCCCATATCTATTTCATATCCTGCCAATCCTATTTCTGAGGATACCTCCATCTGCATCTGAGATCTCAATGTGTCCGATAATTATGAGTTTGAAAATTACCCGAGATTCACAGCCATCCATTTGATGCATTCAGTCAAGTTGAATTATTGTCTATTTGAATCCTCGTGTCATGATTCCGACAGATGAAACTCTTCAAAAGAACTTTGAGGCATTGTTTACCTTAAAGGATCTTTTATTCAAGTAGCATAATATCAGCACTTACATAATCAAAGCTGAAAACTGAATTCCCCTCCCCTGAGCACATAGTCTCAAAGCACAATTCCCTCCCCCAATTAACAATCATAAACCACATTCCCCAATTAGCATGAAGCACAGGCTTCCTCTCCATCTCTTAGCCTGCTAATTCTTTATCAGTTCTGGGTTCAATAACCTTGATTCTCAAGCTAAGTTTAGTGTTGTTATGTCTAGCTGGATTCATTCACATCCCCCCTTCTTTTCCTGAAAGGAAAAAGATGGCTACATTTCCATCTATTGTCAATGCAGAACATCCGACATTAGCAGCGTTGACACCTCAATTTGATTCAAGCTTCCACAAAAATCCTTCTTATGGCCAGTTCAATTCGTAAACACGGAACGCGATCCCAGACATCAAACCCAATTGGGCTTTGGATTGTAGAAGCGACTGGATTCAATTGCTTTTATACCGAAACTCTTCAATTTAAAGGTGGATTTGAGCAAATCACCTTGGAATGAATTTTGCAAGGAAAGCTTGTTACAATCTTAGTGTGCATCACTCTCAGCTGGGCCATCAACCTGACTCCCACAACTCTCCTTAAATGAAATGCCAGGAGAAACCAAGAAGCTTTGGAGGCAAAATTCTCTTTGAAGGCCACCGAAGTAGTACCTATTTATCTACTTGCATCTGCATGCTTTTATCTCTACAATTTTAAAGCATACACTAACATTTCCTTCATGCTCATTATTCCACGTGTTGTATCATTCCTGACATCCTACTTTTGGCAGGCTCCATCCAATTTCCCCCGATCTGTCGATCCTCTATAAATCCATAGGGAATCTGTTTGCTTCCTCAATAAAAAAGACTTCTCGATCCTCCTTGCATGGTGGAGGAGAGCATGATTTTTAGTTAGTTGACCACTTTATAGTCAATCATACTTTGTACGTCTATGCTGACATACAGATGTTCCAAGCATTTTTGGGATTCAAAGCCTAATACTAAAATTCAACACCTACGATCTTTTTGACATTAGACAACTAAAGGTAAAGATTTCCCCTGTCCAGTTGTATCCAACTCATCTCCATTTCTTAACTGAGGGAGACAGCATTGTCCAAAGACATTTCTCTGGTCATGACTATATGCTGAGGTGCATGAAACGCTGTTATCTTCCCACCAAAGTAATACCTATTTATCTACTTGCATCTGCATGCTTTTGAACTGCTGGGTGGGCAGGAGCTGGGGCAGGTAATGGAAGCCCACCCCATTGTACAGCATCCACACTTCTTTAACTGCTGAGCCATCATGCTCCCCACCCCCAGTAAAACAACTAGAGAGATCAATTCATCTGAAATCAGTCTGGTCATTTAGCTTTTTAGACCACAATGAGATCTTGCTGATAAAAACAAACCCTACTTGCATTCCAGTTCATCTCCTTTATATGAGCCAACTTGGGGCCCTAAGATCCCTGGTCTTAGAAATTAATAATAATAATAATAATAATAATAATAATAATAATAATAATAATAGTTGGAAGGGACCTCGGAAGTCATCTAGTCCAACCCCCTACTCAGGCAGGTAACCCTATACCATTTTGGACAAATGGCTGTCCAGTCTCTTCTTCAAAACTTCCAGTGTGGGAGTATTCATCGCTTCTGGAGGCAGGTTGTTCCACTGGTTAATTGTTCTAACTGTCAGGAAGTTTCTCCTAGATTGCTTCTCTCCTTGGTTAGTTTCCATCCATTGCTTCTTGTCCCCCCTTCGGGCGCTTTGGAGAATAGCTTGACTCTCTCTTCTTTGGGGCAGCCCCTGAGATATTGGAACATTGCTATTATGTCCCCCCTCATCCTTCTCTTCATTAAACTAGACATACCCAATTCCAGCAACCGTTCCTTATATGTTTTAGCCTCCAGTCTCCTAATATTCTTTGTTTCTCTTCTCTGTACTCTTTCTAGAGTCTCAGCATCTTTTTTACATTGTGTTGACCAAAATTGGATGCAGTATTCCAAGTGTGGCCTTTCCAAGGCATTGATTGACAGTCTTCAATCATACTTACACACAAAGGAATTCTACAGCTATGGGAACATTGCTTTCTCTTTTGTTTGTTCGCCATGCAAAATGATCTCTCATACACAAACAAACCATTGCTCAGAAACAGCCTGCTGATTGCTAGCAGAAGCATTTCCCTATTTATCTAGAAAAGTTTTAAGATATGACAATAACCTCAGCAAGTTATTGTCATAAATCTACCAACTGGGATGATTCAGAGTAATTACTTTAATAAGGATGTTGTAAGGGGAAAGTAAATAGGGAGAGCAGTGAGTGAGCCATGAAGCATATGTGATTGAAAGGAAAAACAAAAGCAACTCAATACAAAGACAGTGACTATTCTAAGATTGTTGGATTTGAGGATTGGCAAATACTTTCTGGAGTGCTACGGAATATAAATGGGAAGTGTTTATGTGCTCAGAAGCCCTTCCTTACTCCAAATATTTAAACCTGGCTCTAGAATTCGGAAGTGTGCCTTAAAAATGACTCGTCAAAGGAAACCATAAAATGAGAAAAAGTCACATCATCTAACAAGGTGTCTTCTCAATCTTGTTAACTTTTAAGCTGTGTGGACTTCAACTCCCAGAATTCCCCTCCTCTGCACCTCTTGATGTTGAGAACCTTGGGAAATAATGATCTAATGGATGCAGGCCAATTGAAGAGAAAGGAATATATTTTGAGAAGACTTTGACTTAAGCAGAATAAGTAAATCAACAATTCAAATAACCTAAGGAAGTACCTATTGCCAATCACTCACAATCGCTTTGGTGAGGTGGGCAGGGTAGAAATTTAATAAATAAACAAAAAACAAATAAACAAAAATAAATTAGGGCCACATTCTGCCACGGCCATCAGGGGCCATAATGCATTTGCTTTGGTAACAGAGCCAATTAACAGCCATCTGTCTGTCTTTGACTGTTAGCATCCAGATCTAGACAGATTCATTTCCCTTTTTATGCAAGAGGATGAAAGCAATTTAGCGCCACACAGTGATAAATACGGCAACTGGGATCTAACGCATTGCTTGCTAAAGCGACTGAACCAAACAGCCTGAGGTATGGAGTTTGCAAAGAAGTTATTGGAGATTTATGGCCTGCTCGCTCAATTAGTATAGGGACAAGATGAATCTGGGCACTGGGCTTAATGCAGACCTAAAGCGAGCATGGGAGCCATTTTGAAGCAATTTAGTTAAGAACCCAAAGAACAGTCATCTCATCTTTTGCTACTCGCTTATGAGGGTTCCTGGGAGGCTGATGTGAAATTAGTCCCCAAATTCAAAATCCTAAAGTTAGCGCCTTGTAAAGGGGACTTTACAACTAAAGAATTCATGAATTAAAAAAACAAACAAACATGCATGGGCATTAAATAATGGCAGAATGCAAACACTTCGAAGGAAGAACTAAAATAATGATAATAATAATAATAATCCTAACTGGGGATAACTTTGTCAACTTTCAGATGAAAAAAAATCTAGTAAAACATAAGCTGGGCAGAAAAATAAATATTTCTGAGACTGGATGGAGCAGTAATCTGAAGAAATGATGTGACTATTTTTTTTTTCATTCTAGGCTTATCTCATTTACATTCAGAGAGTTTAGGCATAAACCCAGTTTATGAACACAACTTATACATGTGCGAAAATTTCTGTAACAAAAATCAAAGCCCTTTACAGAACAATGTGTGAACTACAGCACATCTGATAACTACAGACCAAAACTTGTGATTTTTCTGAATCTAAATACCCTCCAAACGATAAAATAATAGCATCCCTTGAATATAGGAAACCCCCATTTGATAACACAAAATGTTAATATGTTTATGCCATTGGGTAGCATTCTTGCATACAAATCTTGCTTCTGCAGGACGACATGGACCCTATCCATCAATCCCTCAATCCTAAACTCAGTGATTTTTTTTCAAACATTAATTCTATTAAACAATAGCTCGGGAAACTTAGGTAGAGCATCTGAGGGCCCTTTATCAATATTCTTTTTTTCCCCACCCCCACACATAAAGGGAAGTAAAAAAAATAAATAAATCACCTAGCAATAAAACTCTGAAAAGAACTTCCACCTCGGAATCAATTTCCGATAATACATTGTCATGTTTTGGGGAAATAATCAGTTTAATGAGAAACACAGTTCCCATCCACAGTATCTATTGGGTACCATCAGCTATTTTTACTGACAAATTATCACAAGCTTCAGACACAGAATCTAATTGGGTTTCCTTCTCGCTGTCTTTTTTTTTTTTAAATGATATTTTAAGCTAGGCATATTTATTTTGCTTGCTTTAATCTGGGCATGGCTGGGTATATGAATGTTGCTGTGATTTATAAAAACACAGTGATGATCAATCTTTCATATATACATATATATATAAAGTCTTACCTGCAGTGTTTGTGAGATCCTGTTAGGGTTTCAATGACAAAGCATTCGCCATCATGAAGGCAGTATGCAAGATCCTTATCTTTGCATGGCTTAAAGTGCTCAGATTGTTCAATGGAATACGTTGTGGTATCTGGAAATGGAGGAAAAACACATTTTAATACAATAGATATTATTCCCATTGACCATCAGCTTTTACTTTAAAAAGACTCAGCTAGGAGGGTTGAGCTGAAAGAGAAATTACAGCGTTCATTAGCTCTAGACTTCAAAATAATTACTTGGAGATACTGCTAAACCAATTTTGGTCACTATATCACAAAAAAGATGTTGAGAGTTTGGGAAAAATTCAGAGAAGAGCAACTAAGACGATCCAAGGCTTGGAGACTAAAACATATGAAGAACAGCTGCAGGACTTGGGTTTGGCTAGTCCAGGGGTAGGCAACCTTGGCTCTTTTATGACTCATGGACTTCAACTCCCAGAATTCCTGAGCCAGCATGGCTCAGCTTCGAAACCTCTCCCTTTCCCCTCAGCATGGTTGGCTCAGAAATTCTGGGAGTTGAAGTCCATGAGTCATAAAAGAGCCAAGATTGCCTACCCCTGGGCTAGTCTAAAGAAAAGAAGAAATAGGGGTGACATGATAGCAGTATTCCAGTATTTGAGGAGCTGCCACAAGGCGAAGAGGAGGTCAAATTATTCTCCAAAGCACCAGAGGGCAGGACAAGAAACAATGGTTGGAAACTGATCAAAGAGAGAAGCAACCAAGAACTAAGGAGAAACTTCCTGACTGTTAGAGCAATTAACCAGCTTATTTTCCAAAGCATCAGAAGACAAGACAAGAAACAATGGTTGGAAACTGATCAAAGAGAGAAGCAACCTGGAATTAAGGAGAAACTTCCTGACAGTGAGGACAATCAACCAGTGGAACAGCTTGCCTCCAGAAATTGTGGGTGCTCCATCACTGGAGATTTTTAAGAAGAGACTGGACAGTCACTTGTCTGAGGTGGTATAGGTTCTCCTGCTTCAGCAGGGGGATGGGCTAGAAGACCTCCAAGGTCCCTTCCAGCTCTATTCTATTCTAAGATGCATTGTTATTAAGGACATGACCTCAGGTCTATGGAGAGAAATAGGAGATTCTAATTTTCTCTGATCATGGTTTCTAGTACAGGCTCCAGGATGTTTCTTGAAGCTTTGTAGAACACAGAACAATAGAGTTGGAAGGGATGTTGGAGGTCATCTAGTCTAACCCCCTGCTCAAGCAGGAGACCCTATACCATTCCAGACAAATGGCTAGCCAGTCTCTCCTTAAGAACCTCCACAGATGGAGCACCCATACCTTCCGGAGGTAAGCCATTTCACTGGTTAATTATTCTCACTAGTTATCATTTTCATTGTGTAGCTAAGAAACAGAAAGTCTTGGGAGATGCCTTCAGCCATTGGTTCGGAAAGCATGATGGGGAAGTGGAACATGAGAAGCTTGCGTCTATGAAAGTCAGAGTACTCAGTTGGTCCTGCCTACTCTCACCAGTTTGAATCTCTCTGAAGTTGCACACTGAGTAAGATGCCAGGGACTGGACTGGCCCTTTCACATTTAATGCGTGAGCTGTTACAATCACCATCTCCTCCTTTTCATCTCTGTCAATCAGAATGTGAATTTTCCATCTAGAATCGTGAAATATAAGACAACTTGTGAGTGTTCCCTATAATTGGAAGGAATTTTATTGGATGTCAGCTGTATAATAATTAAGTCTGTATTGATTTCTAAGGCAGCAGAGATGTCAGCTTTTGAAACACAGTAGGGACTGATGCCAAATCCTAGATATATGCTTAAAATGAGTCATCAAGAGTCTAACTGTTTCCATCTCATCTTCACCTTTTAATTTTATATTTATAGTTTCTATCTGGCTGGCAATTGTCATGGATTTCATTATTTCCTGGTTGGAGAGACCCTTCTTTTCTCTAAGTATTGCTGAATCATTATTACTTCCATATTCCCCAAATTCCAAGTAATTATTTCCATTGAAATATTAAAATGCTGGGTTTCTCCTTGTTTCCATTCCCGCCAATAAAAAGTACATTATATTTGAAGATATTAGGATAATATATAGATATTATAGGATAAGATAGATAGATAGATAGATAGATAGATAGATAGATAGATAGATAGATAGATAGATAGATAGATAGATAGATAGATAGATAGATAGATAGAGATGGATGAATGGGTGGATGGGTGGATGGATGGACAGATGAACAGACTGACAGATAGATGATAGATGATAGATAGATACACACAGAGAGAGAGATACAGAGATAGAAAGAGACAGAGATAGAGAGAGATAGAGATAGAAATAGAGATAGAGATATTAGGATAAAAGATACATGTAGATATTAGGATAAAAGGATTTCTTAAGGTAGTCCAAATAAACCTGTATTCCTCACACAACAGTCATAAATGTTTCAGCTTTCTGCTACTTAGCAATAAATATCACATTACCTTACCTTCACACAATTCTCATCTTGAATAGCTAAAACATATATATCCAATATTGTAACCCATAAAGGAAATAGACTCATAGATGTGGAAGAAAGATAATGGTGGACTGCAAGCAAAGGAACCCATCCAGTTTTTGTCACCACAGTGTAACAATCCAGAATCTAAGTCAAATGCTCAAGCTTCTTTATTTCTGTTTATATTAAAAATAAAAAAGCCAAGCCTATTTGCTCCCTCTACATCTTGCCGTTCTAGTTCAGTTTCTCGCATTCCATTATCTCCTAAATAGCTTGCCCTAATTAGATTCTAGGACATTAGCAAGTATTGAAGGAAAAGTCTTCATCATGATTCAGTCCAAGCCGGGAATAAACAACATGGTGACTGCTTTAGAAAGAAGGTTGCATTTTATTGAAGAGGCGAGCCAGACAGAAAGATGGCTCTGGAAGAAAAGAGAGAGAGCACATGTAGGGAGTGGGTTTTGTTTGGAGTTGTTTCCTGTTCCTATTTGAGGCTTTGTATTTCCTGTGTCATGTATTCTGACTTGTGTCCCTTTGACATATGTGGATTAATCCTATTATGTCCTGTCTTAGAGTTTGCATGGGGTATGTAGATTTTAGGTTTCTTTGTCTTCTTAATTTTCTAGCTGGGGGCCTCCAACCATGCTGGATTATTTACATCTGCATTTCTACAGAGCTGGTTTCTGCTTAGGGGAGGGAGACTTGGGGTTGTTAAGAAAAAAACCGGGCATGCTTTTCCGCCTCTTTAAGATCCTTTGAGGAAATATATTTTTCTGCCCTTTTAATATTTCCTTCTCTGGGGGGGGGGGTGACTTCCCACACAAGTATATCAGAGGTATTGTGTAATAATACACAAAGCAAGAATATTTGGTTCATCTTAGCTGAAGCAACAAGCTTTCACAATTGGAACAGAATGAAAATAAAAAGAAAATAAAAGAACATTATTTTCTTTGAACTTTCTTATTCTAGTTTTTATAGCATCCCAAAATCATCAGTAGGCTTGATCGCCATTCTCTATTAAATCAATGCTATTCATTAGTTTTCCTTTATCCAATCACCATTGAGCTAAATGTTGATACATCACCTTTTAATGTTTAAGCAAATCTTTTACACCACTGCATAAATAATATACAGTACAATGGTGTTCCTGTTCAATTAGATTACATTTCCTCCAATAGCTTTTTTTTTTTGACAGATACTCTACGAGTAGAAAAGAATAAATATTGTACTCAGGGTTGAAATGTGGGATCTTCGCTGCTCTCTGAGCTTGGTGTTTTTCTTGCAGACATTTTATTATCAAACATCAGCGCACCAATAATGTTACCCAGTTTGGTAACAAAACGTCTGCAGGAAAACCACCAAGCTCAGAGAGCACCAAGGACCTCACAGATATTCTACAGCAGTGGTTCTCAACCTTTTTAATGCTGCGACCCCCCAACCGGTCATAAGTTGAGGACTACTCAACCAGTCGTAAGTCGAGGACTACTCAACCGGTGCAGCACTGTTTGCAGAATGGGACTTTTGGCGGGCTCAGCAGGGCAGAGACAGCCTGGACAATTCCTATTGGCTTTTGAAAGCCAATAGAATTAGACTCTATTCAAGAGAGTCTATTTTATTGGCTTTCAAAAGCCAATAGAATAAAAGGGAGTAGCACAGCTAAGGAAAAGGGGGAAAAAATGGCAGACTGCGTTGTTTGGCGACCCCCGTGAAATGGTCGTTCGACCCCAAATGGGGTCCCGACCACAGGTTGAGAACCACTGTTCTACAGAATTGCTTGAGAAAAGGAAGGGATGGAAAGCCAGCTCTTAGGTATAGGAAATTATTTCAAATTTTGGAAGTGCTACTATTTTGTGAGATGAGCAAGGATTAGGAAAGTCTCTAGAACTCCTTCAAATATAACACAGTGAATTACTGTTCTACAGACCATCGACTTGACATCCATTGGAGATCAGCAAAAGATTCAGGTTAAAGTGCAATAAAAAAAAATATTTATTAAGAAATTAAAATTGCCAGCACCTTATTCTAAACTACATTTCATAAAGTGGAAAAAGGCAGAGGAACAAATGAACGGGAAACTCATTGGGACCGTCTTCCTTTATTCTTTTATGAGTCCTCGGAATCAGCTTTTCGCTATTCCTGGAGATGAATATGGCTGGATATAATTTCTTTTCTCTGTTTAAATGTGCTCAGAGTAGATTTGAGCTAATCAACTAAATAAAAGTAGGAACAAAAGTAGAATGATTGGGTATTTCGTGAATAATGCTCATCCTCAAATTACCTTCAGTTACTTGGGAGAAAAAAAAAATCCAACAATTATGGCTTCTTCCGAGTTTTAGTATTTAATTCTTAACATTATAGCATGTGGTGTTGTTCCTATAGTACTTATTAGGAAGAAAATGTGAACGAATCAATAAAGCGAATCTGGGTAATCCTTGTATGATCACAATGCAGCCCCAAATTTCCTCTGCTAAACAAGACCGTTGTTAAGCAAATCATGCCTCATTTTATGACCACCGCAGTAGTTAAGTTAGTAACATGGTTGTTAGCCTGGCTTTCCCTTTGATTTTGGTCACAAAAGGGGAATCATGTGACCCCAGAACACTGCCACTGTCATAAATATGAGT